AATCCGAAGATCTTGTGTTCATGTATGGAGGATTGTGTTGATAAATGAATTATGATTGGATTTTGTTGAATGGATGGAGATTTTGGGATAATTTGTGATTTGTGGGTGATACCCGAGGGCGGGGAGTTTTTTTTTTTTTTTGCCGCCAGAGACTATTTGCGGGCGGACTAACGTAGCACCTGGGAAGATTGAATTTTCGCCTATGAAAATGATTTTCGCAGGCGTTGGTCCACCTGTAAAAATTGATGATTTTCGCATGCCTTTAGGTACAGGCGGAAGATATGTCCGCCTGCGAAAACGTGTTTTGGCCGCTTGAAAATATTGTTTATTCTAGTAGTGCTAGTAAAACTATGGTCAATAAAGATTGCCCAAAATGAAATTTACTCTGTTTTTCAATAAAACTATCATCCTTTTAAATGACAAAAGAAATATTCTGATGTATGTTTCAGATTACGCTGAAAAAGCATTTGCCGAGATATATTTTTTTTGATCCAGACTTTGTGGGTCCACTGTTCAATTCAGACAAGTGGAAAGGGGATGTGCTGTGTGCGTTCTTTGTTATAACTGTGTATCCTGGAAATTAAGAGAAAGAATTGGTGAGTGACACATAGTGGATAAGTTAGGTGCTATACTTACCAGCCGAGGAGATAAGTTCGGTGTTATACGTACCAGCTAAGGACCATACCCATATCACCATATGTGCAGTCCTTTTCATGGTCTGCATGATTGCCCACACCAAATTGATCCCTTGGGTCGCAATATTCCATCCACGCGTCCCCCAAGCCCTAATCTACCTGACACATCGGACAATAGAATTCTCATGTAGGAGTACCTATCAGCTCCTTTCTCACCTTTCACTTTTCTTTTGCAGGAAGAAGATCATATCAGCTTATCAGGTCATGGTCAGGGCTCACATGTATCTATTATCTATCTATCTATCTATCTATTATATACTAAAAGTCCATTAAACTTCCTACAAACGCTACTAAGTTGCCACGTGTACCCTACAAACGCTCTCAAGCTACCACTTGGCACTATGATAAATTATAAAACTTCTTAAATTTCTAAGAAAAAAAGCAAAACATTCAACCATTGATTTTCATTTAATCCGGTGGACCCAGTATTTTTAACCATTACATCAATCTATAAAAAAAACAATCCTCCAATCCCTACCAAGACTGTACGTGGAGTCGTAGTGCGTACTTACTTGGACAGCCCGTATGCCTAATCTCTTCCTCCTTCTCTGTTTCCTCTCGAGTAAATTTCACAGAACTATAGTTATTTTGTACAATTTATCACTACAGATTTAGTATGTCCGTTTATCACAAAACTACATGTACTTTGTATAATTTATCACAAAACTACAGATTTAAAAACTTGTTTCACAAAACTATAGATTTAGTGTATTCGTTTATCATAGAACTACACATTTAGTGTCTTCATTTATCACAAAACTACAAATTTAGTGTCTCCATTATCACAAAACTACAGGTTAAAACCTGTGATAATGAAAACACTAAACCTGTAGCTTTGTGATAAATGAAAATATTAAATCTGCAGTTTTGTGAAACAAGTTCTTAAATCTGTAGTTTTGTGATATATTGTGCATAATACTTGTAGTTCTGTGATAAACGAAGATATTAAATCTGTAGTTTTGTGAAATAAGTTCTTAAATCTGTAGTTTTGTGATAGATCATACAAAGTATATGTAGTTTTATGAAATTTACTCTTTCTTATTCCTATTTTTATATATTACAATATTAGTTAGAAAGCACAATAGATGAGCACAATTGATGATTAAAAAAATATAACATCTAAATTGCTTATACTTAATCTTTCAAAAAGAATGTCACGTTTTGGTTATAATTTCTAACTTTTACATGCCATTTAAATAATTCTAAAATATTATAAAAAATAACAATATAGATTTTATCTTCAAACATAATTTCACAATAGTTAAAATAAACCAAAATGTTCCAAAAGAAATTACTCCCCTTTGGTAAGTCAAAATAATATAATTATACGTGTTACAAACGCTCTTAAATCGTCACGTGACTCTCTAATAAATTAGAAAAAACCCTACAAGTTCTAAGAAAAAAAGAAAAATATCTTTAGCATTGATTTTCATCTAAAACGTTAGAGAAATTAATTTTAACCATTAGATCTATATAAAATAGATCGATCACTTACGGATATGAGATCGGTTATATCTTCGGTCGTACACTTACGGAAGAAGAAAACATTACATAGTAGTCTAAAAAATTGAGATTCATTTTTCTTTCTGAAACTGAAAAAAATACTAAAAGTCTATTATACTTCCAATAAACATTCTTAAGCCACCGCGTGGACATCCTACAAATGCTCCTAAATCGTCACGTGACGCTATAACAAATTAGATAATATCCTATAAATTCTAAAAGAAGAAAAATATTTCTTACCATCGGTTTTCATTCAAATCAGCAGAACTATTGATTTTAATTATTAGATCTATATAAATGAATGGTGTGGGCCATGTACATCGATCTAACGCAAAGGAAAATAGATTTGTTATAGCTTCATCCGTACATATAGAGTACAAAAGACATTGGATAGTAGTCTAAAAAATCGAGATTCATTTTTCTTTCTTGAACTTAAAAAAATTAAGACTCTGATCGGTCACAGTTTTGCCCCCATCGACATTACTCGGGACACTATCAGTGTGACGGGGAAAATTAGCTTGGGACTACATGTGTGTATCACATATGGCCGAGCTAAAAGCTTTATCTACCAATTATTTTAGAAACTTAAAAGTTAAAAACTATTTAGTATTTAAACTATCATGGTTGTATAAATGGCTAATTCTTTCAAACAACAAAGATAAAATAGGGTAAGCATTGGAGGCTTCATATTTAGGATTATGCAATATAAATATAATCACTAAAGGCCTAATGCATGTTAGCTAAAATAAAATCACAAAGTGACCATTTGCATTATGTATATTCCTAATGTTTAATCATAAATTTTAGAGTAAAAATATTTAAATCATGACAACAATCATACCACACTACATAATAATCACACATGTGGAGTTATTTTTCGCAACGAAATTATGTTCATGCTAAGTTACATGGAGTCTCACACACTCTACACGAAATAATAAACTATCTCCCACACTGCGGAATCAATTTAGACTCGAGAAGGCTTTTTAGTTGAAATATATATTGTGTCACATGCACCCAAGGCATCCATTAATAAACAATGAGACAATCAAGTATACAGAGAAAAAAAGCAGGTGCATCTCAACAAAGGATACAGTAAGTTGTAAAATATGTAGCCAATTTGCTACATACCAAAAGGAACACCAAAAGTAACTATCAAGTTCTATTGATTGTTGGCAAACAATGATATGGGCACAAAGATTTGTATATACCATTATTTTCATAACCAATCAATGTGAAATGACAACATTAAGCCACTTTTCCAACTTTTTTAATTGAATGTACAATTGTGTTCATCACACTTCTAATCAGATGATTTCCGCGAGAATACTTTTCACATGTTCCTCAAATGTGTAGCCCCCTATGTGATGAGCCTTTTGCCTCGGACTCACCGGCTACCTTTAGAAATGACTTTTGTAATGTTTTTACACATAACTATTTTAGTGGAGTACTTAACCCACAAGGTAGCGTTGAAGCTTTTACACAGTGAACTATATTAGTGGAGCACTTAACCCACAAAGGTAGTATTGAATCAATCTACTCCCTTGGCTACAGGGAAAAAAGAAAGCTCATTTTACATCCTAATGATATTTTATTCTTTTAAACTTTTTACATAAAAGTAATATTTCGCTTTGACACATCAAGAGACGAAGGTCAATAATAATTAAACGAATACACAAAATTCGACGGCTTGCATGTAAATGCCTCTAAGGTGTCAATACAAAATCAATAGCATTTCTTATAACAATATGATTAGAAATTTCCTACTAATTTTTATTTTAAGACTCATATTGACTAGGTATTTTTTTCTTAAAAATACTGTAGGATCCTACGTATGAGAATCACTATCTAAGATATGTATATTTGATCAATTTAAGAAGGAGATAGCAAGATGGTAAAAATTATATATTTATGAGAAATTAAAGTTTCTCAAGATTTTTAAAGAAAAAATACAATGAATATTCCCTCACTTTAATTTAAACTTATTTTTGTTAGACCTGTTTTCGCAACGAAATAAAAACATGCCCGCGCAAATGCGCGGGCTACCTTCCTAGTTCATAGAACAATTATCCTTCATAATACTTCCTCTGTTCCATAATATAAGGGATTTTCAGTTTTTGCTTGCACTGTTTGACCACTCATCTTATTCATAAAAATTTTGGAATTTTTTTTGACTTACTTTATTATCCAAAGTACTTTAAGCACAACTTTTCGTTTTTTATATTTGCACAATTTTTTTTTGAATAAGATGAGTGGTTAAACAATACAAATAAAAACTCAAAATCTCTTATATTATGGGACGGAGGGACTACTAGTTGCAATATTTTTTATAGTTTTTTATATTATCTGTTAGTAGATGTTTTTATATACCTGTCAGCGTATGTTTTTTATGTGTGATGGGATGTGTCGCCGCGTCATCGTGCCTATCTGATCTTTCTTCAGTGTTGCATGCATGCATCATCCTTTTTTCCTGCGACCAAGGGAAGGCTGATCTGAAACTGGCGTGGCACCAGCCGTGTTTCATGTAAACATATCGCAGATAGCGCAGTACAACAAAATTAATCGAGCTAGGTAGGGCATAGGATCGGGTCGATCGAGGCGAAGACTTATCAGAAAATGATGGCCCGGCAGCATCGCATTCGTATGATGGCCTACCTAGCTGGATGGATTATGCCTGGATGCGGCTAATCGATCGGTGGCAACAACTACTCCTCCTCCGATTAATTAGTCCCAAAAATCTTTGAGAAATTTAATCAAACCAATAATGCACTGAGCCACTCACCTGCCTATAAAAGACGAGCCTCGCCGCGGCCGTCGGAGAGATCAGCGAGCAACACAACCGCCACACCCAGCTAAGCGCCGGTCGACCGATCGATCGATCGATATGGGCTCGCTGAGAGGAGGCGGCGGCGGCGGCGGAGGAGGAAGAGGAGATTGCAGTAAGCAGGAGGAGACGGAGAGGGTGATGAGGAGCGTGGACGCGGAGGAGGCGTGCGCGCTGCTGAGCTCGGGGAGGCACCAATACCTGGACGTGAGGATGTGGGAGGACTTTGACAAGGGCCACGTCGCCGGCGCCCGCAACGTGCCCTACTACCTCTCCGTGACGCCGCGCGCCAAGGAGAAGAACCCGCACTTCGTCCAGCAGGTGGCCGCCCTCTACCACGCCCACGACCACATCATCGTCGTAAGTATTTAATTTTCCATCCTCTTTCGATCTATAGCTGTTCTTCTACTGATCCAATTAAGTGCAATATTGCTGGGTAACAATTTAGAGATTATGGATTTTATCATTTATGTGGTATTGTGGTGGCGGTGATGATGCAGGGTTGCCGCTCCGGCGTCCGGTCCAAGCTCGCCACGGCAGACCTTGTCGCCGCGGTATGTACGCCCCTGCCTTGCCTTGATCTACAAATTTCTCAGCTATTCAGTGAAGGAATTGAATTGAATATATGCGCACGCAGGGATTCAAGAACGTGAGGATCCTTGAAGGCGGCTACCTCTCCTTGCTCCGCGCTGCTAATCAACAATAACCGCACCCGAGCCTGATTTTTTACCTACAGATCATGCCCACTAATTATATAATACTACGGAGGAGTACTACTTTTTCTTCGGGGGTGATTATATACTAATACTATACTTGTCGCTCGCTACAGATTATTGAGATGTGGCAGCTTGATTATTGCTCAAGACAAGACGACGATCGAAGCAGAACATAGTTCAAGATGTTTCCGATCGATCCATCCATCGGTTGAATGTATATGCGACTATATATGTTCGGTCGGTCAAAATATGTAAATAAGTCGACCTTAATTGCTTGAGAGAATTGATGGAGCACTATACCGACTGTTAAAATTTTCAATGAAAAGCTAGGTAAAATAACTAGCTTGAGATAGAGGTGTTTTGGGGATACAAAGGTGAAATGGAAGCGGAGATCGGGAATCTCCTTCCCAAATTCCATTTCTCCAATCCCAATTCCCTAACTTCTTCTTCCCGATCTCTGCTTCAATTTCACCCAATTTGTATCCATAAAACACTTTTATTCTCAGGTTTTTTATTACCTCATTGTCCGCTATCACGGAACCTTATATTAATGCTGGTGGCTCCGTACAAGGCTCGCTACTCCTTCCACAAGGTTCACTATTTCCGCTGCGAACCATTTTGTGGAAGAAGTGACAAGCCCGTACGGGAGTAGCGGTGGCGACTCCCATCTTCTCTCCCGGCGTGGTGGCCATTTGGAGCTCAGGGACCACCCCTATCTAACCGCACGGAGCTCATGGGCCGTCAGGTCTAGCGGCCATGCTGGATCCGGCCAGGTGCAAGTGCGATGGCTACTCCACCATGCCAATGACAAGTAGGAATTGCAACGTGTGAGGAGTTGGTAGAACGTCTCTGCATAATTCTCTTTGCCCTTTTACATCAAGGAAAATAATAAAATAACAATAGGATGCATGTGTATATTAGTGTGATACACAGTATATTATACGGAGTTTTACATAAATTTGGTACTAAATTAAAAACTACGTAAGGTTTTCGGTAGTTATTTTCGTCCGTCTCTTTTTTTTCGTTTTTTTTCTTTTTTTCGCTGCTTTTCTTTTTTTTTCTGTTCCGCTCGCTTTTTTTCGCTTTCTTTTTTCTTTTTTTCCTTTTTCCGTTCCGCACGTTTTTTCTTAGCCTTTCTTTTGTCCTTTTCTCATCCACCCTTTCTCTGTCCCTGTTTTTTTTTTGCCATTTTCTTTTTTTTCACCTTTCTTTTTTTCTATCCACTCTTTTTAGTAGCTATTTTTTTACGTTGCTTTTTTTCATAAGCAGGTAAGGATTCATTTTTTTTCTCGGCCGGTTATTTTTGGCGGGACCAAACCCTAGCACCCGCCGTCACTACGATCTTTCTTCCCTTGCTTTCCCTTCTTCAATTAATTGCAAAAATCGATTTCCCACTGCTCCATTATTTTTCCCATGATTTTTCCTTTTAATTCCGCCTTAATGTACTGGATCGAATCTCCAATTAAAAGTCACCGTTTTTATCCCGAGTTTATGAATATGCTCCGATTTTGATAAAAAAACTAAAAAAGTAGATCGAGTGTATCAAAAGCCCTCAACCAATTCTGGGGAGATCGAGAAAAATTCGATCAAATTTGATGGGAGGATAGATTCTAGCATTATACGGACACGAGACAGTCTTCCGGATATTGAAGACGTAAGTCAGCTCTGTGAGTCTTTTAGAGATTGAAGACGGTAGTCAGCTATGTGAGTTGGGCCTACACCTCCACTGGGGTAGGTTAAAGAGAGACAGGCTAAGGAGAGGAAGTTAGCAGGTTAGGCTGAGACTGAAAAGGAAGGAATAAATAAGCTTTTAGCCCAAAACAAAGAGGATAATGTGTGCGATCCAAAAATGCTTTTACCCGTTACAACGCACGGGCATTTTTCTAGTCCGGTACTAAATTTAGAAAACTATATTAACAATTATAGTTATTTGTTGTGAACTTGTAATCTCCGTTAAGTATGAATTTTGTTAACTTCTAAACATGATATTTGACTATTTTTTTTCATAAAAGATAAGTACTACCTCCGTTTGTTAATATATGACGTTATTGGCTTTTTTATATATGCATTTGACCATTCATTTTATTCATAAAATTTGTAAACATAAAAAAGATATAAATCATGCATAAAAATATTTAATGATAAATTGTCACAACAAGATGAATCATTAAACATATTTAAAAAGTCAAAGTCAATGACATCATACATTAAAAAAAGCAGACTACAGATGATCATATATTTTTGTTGGGAATCACTTTGCCATTAGACACACTCAAATGATTGCTGGGTCGATCATTGAAAAAGGGGACCTCTTCGAATGTGTTTGGTTGGAGGAATGTGATGGGTTGAGTTGAAGCGAACCCGTTTTTAGGGTGTTTGATTTGGAGATAAGTGGAATGGCAGTATGGATGGCTAGTTTCCCTAACGTAGCATCCCAGTCAACATGAAGAAAATAAAAAAACATGTGTGAACCCACATGTAAGTGAGTCAACATGCAACCGGGCCCACAAATACAGGGTTTCTTATCGCTCCAATCTCATCTCTCTCATCTATCCTCATTTCTTTCCATCTCTCTTCCCTCTTCCCCATCTCTCGCTAGGGCAATGACCATTCGGGGTAGGGGTGGTGACGGATGGCGCCGGTGTAGGGAGGGGCGTCGATGATGCTTCCCCTTGCTGTGGCTGAGGCGGTGGGAGAGAGGAGACAAGGCAACGGCGGTGGAAGAGCCAACCAAAAGATGCTCTCATGGCACAGGCAGCTCGGGTTCATCCTAGCCGCCGCGCTCCACCATGCTGCTCAATGCGTCCTCCTTCATCGGCCATCCCTCCTAGGCCATCATCTAGCTCCACTCAATTAGGTACTGCACTAGTGGATGGCACGATGTCGCGGTAGTGAACGTCATCTTGTCGAGCCGGAACACCTTCACCCCCTCCAAATCTCCAACAATGACGAGCACCCGGTCATGCACGAAGATGACCCGAACAATGGCGACGATGTAGCCGATGCCGATGTCGTCGCCGCACTTGAGGTTTTCACTGGATAGCGACTCGGGGTCCGGGTCTTGCTCCACTGCGAACCGTGCGCACTGGTTGTTGTCGAAGAGTTTCACGTGGCTGGAGATCATGTTGGACCTCACCGGCGACGAGGAGTTGGTGCAGATCGGGATGATTCCGTAGCCCTTGAGAATCTGATCCCATATGCTGCGAATTCTCTCGGTGTCATCACCGTGTATACGAAGTTGAACGGCACGAGCTCGTCTAAATCCACCATTTCATTGCCTGGCACTCCCCAGAGCCAGCGAGCACATTGACATCCTTCCGGTAGGGATGCAAGCGGGTTTTTTTAGCCCGCTTATCTCACTGCTAGCCTATTTTTTCTTCTAAGTTTTGTACTACCATATGAGAAATGAACTAGCAAGCGGGTAGCGGGACTACCCACTTGCATCCCTCTCCTGGCATGGAGGAGTGAGGAGAGTGGAAGTAGAGGAAGGAGGTTAGAGGCCACTTGCATGTGGGTCCCATATATGTTTTATTTTTATTTTTCTGACTAGTATAATCCGGTTTTACATGTTGAGGGGTAAAGATTTTTAGTATTGTGGATCAGTGATATGATTGATTTAAGGAAAAAGTACACCGAAGGTCCCTCAGCTTGTTATCGGGATACAAAAACGTCCTTGAACTGCAAAACCAGATATGCGGGGTCTCTTAACTATGCAAAATCTGTCACCCGAGATCCTTCGGTGGTTTTGACCCCGGTTTTGGTCTACGTGGCGGCTGAGTCAGCATGGGGCCCACGTGGGCCCCGCATGTCAGGTGTCCACGTCAGCCTCCTCTCCCTCTTTCCCCTCTTCTCTCCCTTCCTCATCTCTCTCTTTCTCACTTCTCTGCAAGCGACCGGCGAGGAGGATAGCACGACGGGCAGTGACTGGTGGGGAGAAGGGCAGCGCGCGGTGGCCAACTGGGACAAGGGGAAGGGAGAAGGGGCGGCGCCGGCAGCCGATGGGGACAAGGCGATCGACGGGGAGAAGGGGCGGCGTGCGGGAGGAGGCGGGCTGCCGATGACGGCGCCGCGGCCGCGTGGAGCGTCGCCTGCCGCCTCCGCTTCCGCTCCACTCCGCTTCGCTCGCACGCCGCCTGCCGGCCGCATCCTCCCATCAGCGCTCTCCGCCGCGGAGAGATCGAGTGCCGCCGCATCTTCGACGGAGAGCCAGACGAGGCCAACGGGCGCGAGGCGAGAGAGGAGATCCGGCCGACGACGCGGTGACGGGCGAGGCCGAAGCTGGCGCCGCCCGAACTCCTCCAGCGCCGCCGACGACGCAGACCCCGGCCGCGCGTGCAGCCGTGGGCGCCCTAGCGCCGGCATCCCCGCTCTGCGAGTCCATCTCGAACGACATCCACAACTGCTCCGGCAATGTGTGCATGTACGAGGCGTCCACCAATGCCGGGGACACCGGCGGCAAGGTCGGCACCGACACCTTCGCCGTCGGGACGGCCAAGGCGAACCTCGCGTTCGGGTGTGTCGTGGCGAGCAACATCGACACCATGGACGGGTCTTCCGGGATCGTCGGGCTAGGGAGGACGCCGTGGTCGCTCGTCACCCAGACGGGTGTCGCCGCATTCTCCTACTGCCTGGCGCCACACGACGCCGGGAAGAACAACGCGTTGTTCCTCGGCTCCACCGCGAAGCTCGCCGGCGGCGGCAAGACCGCCTCGACGCCGTTCGTCAACATCTCCGGCAATGACCTGAGCAACTACTACAAGGTCCAACTCGAAGTGCTGAAAGCCGGCGACGCGATGATCCCGCTGCCGCCGAGCGGTGTTTTGTGGGATAATTATGAAGTGAAATTTTGTGGTGTTTTGCTTGAATTTCAGGTTCTTTTGTCGAGGGTGAGCTTCTTTGCTTCGCAAGGATCAGATGTTGCACAAGACGATGTCCTTGGGATGTACAAGCAGACTGCTGATGCCGTCATGTGCATTCTCCTGCCGGATTCAGAGACCGCCGCTTTCACAACAAAAGGTAAGTTCCATGATTCAGAAGCTTAAAAAAAACAATCTCAGGTTCACCATTTGTGTAGCTGGTAATAACAATGCAGTAGTAATTCAGATGGCTTGCAAAATTTTATTTCAGGTGGTTTGCTGTATGTTGCTGAGTGGAACTCACTCCAGCACCCGGTGGCATCGGCGTTCCTCGCCGCCGTTTACAGCGACTACATGCAGAGCTCCAGGAAGACGGAGCTAACCTGCAGTGGGCAGGGCTTCTCGCCGAGCGACCTGCGCAAATTCGCCAAGTCCCAGGTAGTAACAAGATTCAGAATTGTCCATGATCCAGAGTTCACAATTATTCAGACTAACATATGTTCAGAGAGAACATAAATGTTAAGAAATGCAGTACGTAAATGTGATCACGCACTGATCAGTGATCTTTGTTCTTGGCAGGCGGATTACTTGCTGGGCAGCAACCCGATGAAGATTAGTTATCTGGTCGGGTACGGCGACCGGTACCCGGAGCGGGTGCACCACCGCGGCATATCTATCCCGGAGAACGTCGACACCGGCTGCGACAGCCACAAGTGGCTGGAGACGTCCAAGCCTAACCCAAACGTCACCACCGACGCGCTCGTCGGCGGTCTGTACAAGAACAACAGCTTCGTTGACGAGCGCGACAACGTGATGCACAACGAGGCCACCACCTACAACTGTGCCCTCGTCGCCGGCTTGCTCTCCGCCCTCGTCTCCACCACCTCCCTCCAGCGGCAGCACCGTACTGCAGGCGGCGGTGGCGGCAGTGGCGGTGGCGGTGGTGGTAGGCGACGCCCCACACAGCCACGGCGCCGTCATCAGCAGCCCGCCTCCTCCCGCGCACCGCCCCTTCTCCCCGCCGGTCGCCTTGTCCCCATCGGCTGCCGGCACCGCCCCTTCTCCCTTCCCCTTGTCCCAGTTGGCCAGCGTGCCGCCCTTCTCCCCGCCAGTCGCCGTCCGTCGCGTCATCCTCCTCGCCGTCAGCTTGCAGAGAAGTGAGAGAGAGAGAGATGAGGAAGAGAGAAGAGGGGAAAGAGGGAGAAGAGGCTGACGTGAACATCTGACATGTGGGACCCACATGGATCCCACGCTGACTCAGCCGCCACGTAGACCAAAACCAGGGTCAAAACCACCAAAGGATCTTAGGTGACCAGTTTGCATAGTTAAGGGATCCCACATATCTAGTTTTGCGGTTCGAGGATGTTTTTTATCCCGATGATAAGTTGAGGGACCTTCGGTGTACTTTTTCCTTGATTTAATAGGGGTGAAAACGTATAAGGGATTCTCAAAAAAAAAAAAAAACGTATAAGGGAGTAAGTAGACTTATTCGTTTGCTGAACAAAAGAGGAACCACCAATGGGCCTATCTGCTAACTTCACTAGGCCATGGCCCATTCACTGCATCCAGTCTTCCTCTCCAAATCGGTAGCGAGCAACCCACCACGGCACCACCAGCAGCTCTCTTCCCCAGTTCTTCTCCTCGATACATCTATTCATCCATCCATTGCCGGCGAGGCGACACACACACCAACAACTCCGCCGCCGCCGTCGTCAACCTCGCCAGCCCCGGTAAGCCCCAGAATCGAGTCGGTATGATTCGAGTTTCCACGAGCATATGTTCTGCTCCAGCGGGGCCGTTGGCTACCAAAGCCCCGAATATTTCTGCGGGAATCCGACCGGCTTTCTGAGTTTATATATAATTCGTAATTTCATATGGCTTAGGTTATTGATTAGACGCTTCGGGGTCGCGGAGATGAACTGCGAGACCTGTCAGCTGAAGGAGCTGGTCAGATCCAAATTCCACCACTTTTTATTGTTCTTTTCGTTTTCTTTTTTTTCTTTCATGGAATTATTGGTGTGGTTTTTGTGTTTACTTTTTTTTTTTTGTTGTGCTGCTTTGTTTTGGGTCGCAGGAACTGGAGCCTCGGGAGATCAAGGATGTGCTACGATGTGAGTCTTCTCTTCCCCATCTATATCTCCTTACTTTTCTTAAGGAGTGCCCCTTTGTTTCGATCTGCAGTCCCATGAAATCGTTGTTTTGGGTTGAATTGTTTGTGGACTAAAATATTTCTGTAATGTTGAGAATTTCAAATCATAGTTGGGATGTTGAGTATGTTGCATCCGAACACTTCTTCCTATTTGCATAATGGAAAATTATTGGATGAATGATGTATGAGCAAATGAACAAAGAATTGGATATTTAGTTAGTGTTATTGTTAGGTTACTTATTACTTGGGAAAATTGTAACCACATTGGGATTTTTTTTTGTTTTGCAACATATATATACATATTTGTTTACTGTTGGATGGCAGTACCAAGTTCACAGCTTTTTTGCACCTATGGTTTGTCATGAATTTTGCGATAAGGATTTGTGAAACTAGTGTTTATAGTTCTGCACTTCTGCTGTTATACAGTGTAATTAGATTACGCCATGATCTGATTTCATTAGATACTGTTTGATTTCATTAGATCATTCCGTAAAACAGATGATAACCTAGTTCAAATTCCTTTATGCTTTGAGGTTTGAGCGGCATGGAATCCTGTTATAGTGTTATGCTGTTGCTGGCCACCGCATAACTCAATGAACTTCGCTTTTGTTCGGGCTTAATATTCCGTTATCATTGTTCCACCTAAACAAACAAAGTAATCTTCCATTACACGAGCAATACCCATCCCATTTTGATTATTTGTTAAGTAATAAACTGAGAAGTCGAGAGCAGCTTATCCTTCCTAGCATCATCTAATCTTTGCTGATTGATATGCTGCTTTTGGCTGTGCTGCAGGCATTTTGCATACCATATTCTTCCACAGAACCTTGAGCCTTGTTCGGCCCAAAGACTTTGATTGTGATTTCTTTGAGATTACCTATGTGAGTATTTATCCTGTATAAAGGTCTTGAACTATTTAATGTACTGAATCTATTTGGGTTTTCTATCTAATGTTTGCTGGCACTAAGCACATTTCATGGCTATCAAATGAAGTATGAAATTTATTACCTACTGCAATTGTCTAGCAAATGAAGTATGAAATTTATTTCCTACTGCAATTGTCTAGTACTTGTAGCAGTGAAATATAGCTTAGCAATTCGAATATCCTATCTGTGCTTTATGTTTGCTGCTGATTTGGTCTTAATTATTGCGATTGTCCACCCTGAACTGTGTAGCCTTGATGTTGTTAACAGTGAGATGTTATCACTTACTCCTATCAGAATAGGAGCTACATGATGTTAAGATATAATTAGATATTTAAGGTCCAGGTGTGACTGACACGTCACTGATGCATAATTAGAGCAAAAGAGCCATGGAAAAGATCAAACCAAAGATAATACAAGATTAATCTGTCACGATCCCAAAACGCCGGCGACGATGCTCGCCGGAGATTTCTAGAATCGGAGTAGAGGAAGAAGAGAGAAGCAGAGCACGAGGATGAAGAAGCAGAGGACGGGAATAGTTTTTCCTTTTTCTTTTCATACCCTTCAGTTCGATTACAGACTGGCTCATATAGGCCACACACGCAACTCACCAACCCATCGGTCCCACCCGTCCGAGTCTCACAGCTTTACATCCAACACTTCCCGTCTTTGCTTCTCTATTACAACTTTCAATTATACGCTTTCGCTGTCAAACAGAACCACTATAGCCCGTCAGGCAACAGCCGTGACAGGTTCCCCCCCACCAATTGGAGCTTGTCCCCAAGCGACAGCATCAGGAAACCTCGTGCGCACAACATCATAGTCCTCCCAAGTGGCCAATGCAGGAGGAAGAGAACCCCACTGTACAAGAACCTGAACAATAGCTGCATTACCCTTCTTTACCAGGCGGCGCTCCAACACAGCAGATGGAATCAAATCGGCAATATCCAACTGAGCAGCAGTAGGCAATTGAGCAAACACCGGCTTAGTATCAGGCACAAATGACTTCAACTGGGAGACATGAAACACCGGGTGAATGAGGCTGTCAGCTGGTAACTTCAAACGGTAAGCAACTGACCCAACAACAGCCAAAATCTCAAATGGACCAAAGTATTTGAAAGCCAATTTTGGAAATGGCCGTGCAATCACTGAACGTTGAGCATATGGTTGTAACTTCAGAAGTACCAAATCACCCACTTGAAAAGAACGAGCAGTCCTCTTAGCATCAGCAAACTGTTTCATCCGGTTTTGATCCCTGGCTAAATGATGCTGTAACATGGTAGAAAACAACTCCCTTTCTTTCAACAAGGCTGATACTCCAGAAGAATCATCAATATCATCAGAAGTCTGTTCAGCATCATCAGTCAAAGGAGCCGGGAGGAGACCATAAGTAGGATCAGTGCCATAGAGTGCTTTATGTGGAGAGCATTTCAGAGCCGAATGAAAACTTGTGTTATACCAATACTGAGCAAGGGGTAACCAAGAAGACCACTTAGTGGGAGCTGAAGCCACAGCACAACGCAAATACATTTCCAAGCATTGATTCACCCGCTCAGTCTGACCATCAGACTGAGGGTGATAAGCCGTGGTAAGATTCAGAGGAATTGCAAAACGTTTGAACAGATGTTGCCAAAAGTGACTGGTAAAAATCTTGTCTCGATCAGAAACGATAGACTTAGGCATACCATAAAGAGAAGCCACTTTACTGAGATAATTATCAGCCACTTGGACAGCAGTGAATGGATGCTTTAAGGGGAGAAAGTGTGCATACTTCGTAAAGCGATCCACCACCACTAATATAACATCAGAGCCCTTGGACAAAGGTAATCCTTCTATGAAATCCATAGATATATCCTGCCATGCACCAGTAGGGATAGGCAATGGTTGCAACAATCCTGGGGACGAACAGTGCTCATGTTTGGCCTTCTGACAAACCACACATTGTTGTATAAACTCTTCTACTGAATGCTTAAGACCTTTCCACACAAACAATTTTTTAACTCGGTGATAAGTAGCCATTACTCCAGAATGACCTCCAATAGCAGAATCATGAAACGAAGAAATGATTTTAGTGTGCAGGGCAGAGTTAGCTCCCAACCAAATACGACCTTTCTTTTTTATTAACCCATGAACCAGAGAAAAGCCACTTGCATTAGGTGACATAATAGCCAATTCAGTGAGTAGAGACTGAGCTTGATTATCCACCACATAAGAATTCACCACCTCTTGCACCCAAACAGGTTGTGCTATAGAAATGGCCTGTAAGGAAAAGAAATGCCCCACCCGAGAAAGTGCATCAGCAGACTTATTTTCAGCACCTCTCTTATACTGAAACTTATATTGTAAACCAATGAGCTTAGTCATAGCCTTGCGCTGTAATTCAGAACCCAGTAACTGATCATCTAAATGGCACAAAGATTGGTGATCAGTCCTTATGACAAACGGCCCCCTGAGTAGATAAGGTCTCCATTTATCAATAGCCATCATTATTGCCAAGAACTCCTTTTCATAAATAGACAGCTTTTGATTGTTAATCCCCAATGCCTTGCTATAAAATGCCACCGGGTGTCCTTCCTGAGACAGAACAGCCCCAATACCCGTAGAACAAGCATCTGTTTCAATTGTAAAAGGCTTGGCAAAGTTGGGCAAGACTAAAACAGGAGTGGAGCTCATAGCAAGTTTTAAAGAATCAAAGGCTTTTTGAGTGTGTTCAGTCCAAACAAACTTGACGTTTTTCTTAAGAAGTACTGTCAATGGCTTAGCCAAAATGCCATAATTCTTGACAAACTTCCTATAATAACCAGTCAAGCCTAAAAATCCCCTTAACTCAGTAAGATTAGTCGGGACAGGCCATTGCAACATCACCTTGGTCTTTTCAGCATCTGTGGCAACACCAGCAGCTGAGATGATATGACCCAAATATTCCAACTGAGGAGCAGCAAACGAGCATTTAGATAGCTTTGCACAAAGTTGATGTTGCTGAAGTAGCTGTAGCACACATCTCAAATGCTTTAAATGGTCAGTCCACGACTTACTATACACCAAAATGTCATCCATAAAAACGAGCACAAACTTCCTCAAATAAGGAGCAAAAATAGAATTCATTAAACACTGAAATGTGGCTGGAGCATTAGTCAATCCGAAGGGCATAACTCGGAATTGAAAATGTCCATGGTGAGTCTTAAAAGCTGTCTTAAACTCATCAGATTCCTGCATCCTTATTTGATGATAACCACTGCGCAAATCGAGTTTAGAAAAGAACTGAGTGCCTGCTAACTCATCTAACAACTCATCGACAATTGGCAGAGGAAACTTGTTCTTAATAGTGAGATCATTCAACCTTCTATAATCAACACAAAAACGCCAAGAATTGTCTTTCTTCTTAACCAACAACACAGGAGAGGCAAAGGGACTGCAACTTGGGGAAATCAGACCAGCTGACAGCATCGTAGAGACCTGCCTTTCAATCTCATCTTTCTGAGCAGGAGAATATCGATATGGCCTGGCATTAACAGGGACAGAATTAGGCAGCAAGGAAATAACATGATCTAACACCCTGTGGGGAGGCAGAGTATTAGAGTCCTGAAACACAGACTGAAACTCTTGCAGTAACTGTTGTATTTCAGGAAATGTAGAGGCTGAATTGTCCACTGACTGAGAGGGTTCCACAACAGCCATTGCCCAGATATCATTTCCTTTAGTCCACTTCATAACCTGAACAGCAGAAACTTCACTGACAGGCCTTAACTCATCTGAAGTCTGTATGCCCTTCAAAGTAATGACTGAACCGTTATAAGAAAACTGCAACTGTTTTGCTGCCCAATCACATGTCATTGGACTGAATTGTGTTAACCAATCCATCCCTAACACCAAATCATAACCCCCCATAGGCAGCACCCTCATAGGAAATGAAAACTCGTGTCCCTGAACCCACCAAGCAAACTGAGGAACCTTGGCCTCACAACAAAGAGTTTCTCCATTAGCCACTCGAACAGAAGTAGGCTGAATAGATTCAGTAGACAACTGCAATCTGTGACAAAGGCCAGCATCAATGAAGCTGTGAGTGCTGCCAGAATCCACAAGAATAATAATCACTTGATTTTGAACCAAGGCACGCAACTGAACTGTATGAGAGGGACAAGTACCCGCCATAGCATGCAAAGACAGACTAATACTATCACTAGAAACATCCAAAGCAGTAATAGCATCCAACACTTCATCAGATAATACTTCAGACTCCTCCTGAACATGCAAAGCCTTCAACTGAACACCCTCTTGTTTAGCACACACATGACCAGGAGCATACTTCTCCCCACATTTAAAACACAAGCCCTGAGCCCGCCTATACTCTTTCAGTTGCTGTGCTTTCCACAATTCACCAGGAGCCAACTTCAGCTTATCAGTGCCCCTAATAGCCACATGCTCTTTCTTATAATGCCCTTTCTTAGTGCCAGTCCCCAACTGAGCAGACTCATGTGCCAAAGCAACCAAATAAGCCTGAGAAACAGAAGTAGGCTGTTGTGCCTGCACTGCAGACCTCAACTCATCTTTCAATCCCAACAGAAAATGCCTAATCAAAAATGTATCAGACAACAGTGGATCATAAAGCCTAAGCTGATACACCAACTGATTGAACTTAGAGCGGTACTCAGTCACCGAACCCGTTTGTGTCAACAATAACAGCTCATCCATTTTCACACTTTCCAAATTGACTTCAAATTCATTTAAGACTGCTGTCTTCAGGGATTCCCAATTATGCCAGCCCGTCTCTAACTTCCAAGCCTGGTACCAATTTGCTGCATCCCCAATCATATTCAGAGAAGCGGCAGAAACTTGAAAACCCTCAGTGATTTGATAAAACCCAAAATAAGTCTCACAATTATCCAACCAAACCCTCACATCGGTGCCATCGAAACGGGGAAAATCCATCTTAGGTGTCCACTGGCGTCTAGGCGCAGAATCCCCACCCTCGGAAGCAGACAGCGAAGGGGAACTGGATACCTGCGGTGGCCGACGCCCAAACGGTGGTGGTGGTGGTGGTGGTGGTGGTGGTGGTGGTGTCAGCGAAGTGGTCGCCGACGAAGCCCCCCGCGGAGTCTCCAACAACGGTGGTTGCCCGTGCGGAGTTGATGGCGCCGCCGAACTCGGAGCCGCCGCCGCCGCCTTCAACACGCGCGCGACTTGACTCTGCTCTTGTTGAACTTGCCCTAATGACGTCATCGAGAGATCCATCTTTGCTTGAACCCGATCCAGTCTCTCCCCATGAGAGACAAGCTTGGCGTCGATCTCCTCCAAGTGCTTGGTGATCACCTCAATGTTCTCCACCTTCCCCGCCAGTCGCGTCAACACCTCCATGACACGCTCCTCCATCGCCTCCATCGCCGCCACGACTTGACGCACCTGCACACTTTGCTTAGCCGGAGCCGTTGCGTCACCTCCTCCAAACCCGGCGAACCAGACGCGAGATTGACGGCGGCGCAACCCAGAGGGCGGCCACCAACTCGGCCACAGGAATTACCACCAGACGGTCGAGAGAGTGCGAGGGAGCAACAGGACCGAAAGCTCTGATACCAAGTTGTCACGATCCCAAAACGCCGGCGACGATGCTCGCCGGAGATTTCTAGAATCGGAGTAGAGGAAGAAGAGAGAAGCAGAGCACGAGGATGAAGAAGCAGAGGACGGGAATAGTTTTTCCTTTTTCTTTTCATACCCTTCAGTTCGATTACAGACTGGCTCATATAGGCCACACACGCAACTTACCAACCCATCGGTCCCACCCGTCCGAGTCTCACAGCTTTACATCCAACACTTCCCGTCTTTGCTTCTCTATTACAACTTTCAATTATACGCTTTCGCTGTCAAACAGAACCACTATAGCCCGTCAGGCAACAGCCGTGACATAATCATAACCATATAATGGTTTATCTTAAATATATATTAGCAATAGTCATGTCTCTTTTATGGATGTAATGCCTTCTATTCTCATTCGTGGTAGCTTCAGATGAGTGTCATGGCACTTGTTTATGCCTTGAGGCACGCAGATAGCTTGTGGCAAGCTGTATTACTTCTTAACCATTATGAGCTTACCTGCTCTATGGTTGCTGATCACCATAAAAATTATATCCAGAGAAGTTCTGAATTGTTGCATTAGACACCTCTCTCATTGTCTCGTTTTATTGTATTGATTTATCTGCATGACCCAACTCTGACCATGAGGTGGTTCAGCCATCCAGAGCACATGCTATGGTTTATTATGACCTTTACACCATACGACCTAATGACCTAGGCTAAGATAACCCAATGCATATCCTCCATTACATCCACCTTCATGTCAGGCCAAGACTTTGTCTCATGCTTCTGGCCCATTGTGTCATTCAGGCCACTCTATTGACTGATCCACACATGTACTCCATCCGTTTTTTAATATATGATACTGTTGACTTTTGTTACAACCTTTGATCATTCATCTTATTTAATTTTTTTTTGCAAATCTTAAAAATATAAGTAATGCTTAAAGTTCTTTTAGTGATAAATCAAGCCACAAAAAAGAAAAAGACATAAGCTTAAATTTTTTGAATAAGTCGAATGGTCAAACATGATATAAAAAATCAACGGGATCATATATTAAAAAGAAAAAATGGAGGTAGTATAATGTAGGTACAGGCCAATCCATGCTGTGCCACTCAAAATTACAAATGCCATTAAATGTCATTCGCTCCAAAAATCTGAAAATTCTCAGCTCCCACCTCATCAGCTCAAATCTGCATGGTGCATATTACAGACTATAGCTTATCTGCACCCAACTGGCTTTTTTTCTGACAAAGCCATTACTGGTGTTATATTATACTCTCGCTCCATTCGCAATTGATCATCCCATTACGTTTGTGCAGCGATACCAAGGAAAAAATAAATCAAGCAGTAGTTATCATCCATCAAGCATGTAAGCCACAATGCTGAGCGCCAGTTCAGTGGCCCGCGCGCATGGCCAATTAACTTTGCGGGTGGATTTAACTAATCTCGCAATAATCACTCAGCATTAAATTCATGCATCATGCAAGCAATAAAAAAGGAGCGACGGTTTAATTAATCCCCGGATAATCTCTCCGCATTAAATCCATGTGCAGATGCATGAGATAAAAAGAGAAATATGCTGGCTTCCAACGTTGTGCAACAATAAAACCAGAATTTTTCTTTTCAATATGATGATCAACTGCGAATGGAGGGAGTATGTAGGAAAAACGTACAGAAGCATGAAAAAAAAAACAAAAATGTATGTGGTAAATCTTGCAATACTTTTCGCACCCCCTATGCCCTATTGCCAAGCCTCTTGCACTGTGCCATCAGATAGATGATGATTCTCTTCTCTTCAGAAAACCCTTGCACCCATCAATCAGTATCACCGCATGGATTTGAATTCTGCATTCATGGGTAACCTACTAGGAATCTGGTCAGCAACATGTTTCTTGGTCGACTGCTGACCTGATAAAAATGGATTGTCATTATATTTTGTATAATGTTAAGTCTTTGTGCCATGTATAAGAACATTTAGAGTATCACTAATAATGAAGTGTCTATCCAAAACCTAACTATCCATGTAAAAGATTTCATGCTGCCTTTCGCATTTTGGTTTCAGTTTCACTGTGTAACATTTACAAACATTGGTACGAGCTTGTTTTGTTTCTACTTTTAACATAATTGCGAATAGTGATGTTTGGGGCATCCTCCAAGATCTGAATGATTATCTGTTACTACCTTATGCGTGTCTTGTGTGGTCTACAATATGTTTTTGAGAAATATGATAGGAAAGAACCAACTGAGTTAAAAGTGAAGTGTTTAGATTAGATGTTCCTTAAAGGATCATAATCTTATGGCAAATTATGCTACAGGACACTGTGACTTCGTGGTTTTAGCAGTAGGATACCGCACGAAGTGACTTTTGAGGGAAGACACTCTTGAAAGTGGGATATTTGCTGGTGGACAACGGACAACACACCCATTAAAATAATAATTTTCGGTTGAAGAGGAGAGAGAAATCGTGAATGACAAAAAATATCCTTGGAACCACATGTCAGCTCTTCAATCTCTCTTCTCTCTATCCCCTCCTTCCACACTTCTTGGTCGGTTGGCGCGAGTCAGGCCGGTGCTGATCTCTTGATCCAGGCCGGCGCTGCCGCCTCCTTCCGCTCCTCTCTGATCGGCAAGCAGACATCGGCAGTGGGCGGCGTTCATTCTTGGTTCATCGCCCAACGCATGTTGATTCTTGCAACACCCGGTTGGCGAGGGATTCTTGCGACTCCCGGCAAAGGAGCTCCCCGATGGTTCTTGCTGCGGTAGAGCTCCTGACGGCAGCAGCGGTGTGGTCCCCAGCAGAGCTCCCGGCGGCACAGGTGTCGCCCGCGGGTTCTTGGAACTAGGCGCCCCGTCGTCCACGACAATTCTTGGCACGGCGGAGCTTCAGCGGCAGAGGCGGTGTCAACTCCATGGGTTCTTGGCTTGGCGGAGCTTCGGGCGGCGTAGGTTTCACTAGCAGGGATGGCTGGCCGGTGCAAACCAGTGGTCGCTGCGACAAGTTCCTGTCTTGGCGGAGGCATGAGAGACAGCGGAGTTCTTTGTGGCCAGAATGGAGGGGAAAGGAGGACAGTTCTTGGTGGCAAGAAGAGAGATGGGAAACCTGACATGTGGAAGGGTATTTCAGAACTTTCACGCGATTTCGGTCTCCTATTCAACCAGAAAAGAATATTCTAATGGATGCGGTGTCCATGAGCTAATTTCCACATTTACATAGTGATTTCCCCCAAAAGTCACTTAGTGCGGCGTCCTATAGCTAAAACCGTGAAGTCACGATATCCTATAGCAAAATTTGCCGTAATCTTATTTGGCGTTGAGGGGATCGGATGTCTACTATTGGTCTAACGTGGATAGGCTGTTTTTCATGGATTCACAAATGCTTCATTATGCTATGAGGTTCCTTAGATTTATTATTATTGTTGTTGTTTTGTGTAGGTACAATGTGGACTTCCTGAATTAGAAAAGGAAGTTGATGAAAAGATTAACCAGTTTGTTGCGTGGGTAGAGAAACATCCAAATCGGAGTAGTCAGGTTGCATTTCCCATCTCTTTGTTCTGCAATTTTCCACCTTCAATGCTAGACTTGTATTATCTATTCTCCAATTTAATTAGCATATAAGATGAATATGTCAGGTTTGCCTCTCCTTTTTCGATGAGAAAAACAAACTCCCAAGCTGGTTTGGCAACAAAACAGAGCGTATTTATTGGGAACAGTGGTTCATAAATTTGCATGTAATAAGCCCAAAAAGGCATGGCAAATCACATAGCTCTAAAGCACTAACAAATATTGGAGGTAATTTTACTAAAAAAACACTTTCATCATCTTTCACAACGATATCCTTAGTTTCCCACTATGGTCACATGTGATGCACCATTACCTTAGGGCAAGCATTGGAAGAGAGTAGCTCAAGACGTGCTGCCTTGGAATCATCAATTCATGAAGTACTATTCCAGATCATAAACTTTGCCAATGAGAAAAAGGACCATATTCCTCCAATCCCTGATAGAATATTCAATCATGAGATCTCCATTCCAAGGTATGTCCTATATATGTCTCATGATAAGAACTGTCCATATTGGTCCTTTTTGTTGAGATTCTTTACATATATCTGGATCCCCAGGTGACACGTTTTCCTTGGACGTGTTGACAGCTCCTCGGATTCTATGTTTGGATGGAACACGGATGTTCTTAGGAGAGTGTTGAATAGTGGGCATCCATACTCCCTCTAGCTCAAGATGGCCAATGCTGCCAGTTATCATCACCTTTAATGCTCATAAGGAACAAAGTTTGTGTACATAATCATGTGTGTATTTCATCTGGCTTGTAAATATTTAGGCTAATTTGGTTCTTAGTTTATCAGTGTCGCACGTTCCATAGAGAAACAGGTTCTGAGTATTGTGCAGTAACATTAGATGGTTCATTGTGACGGGATAGAGGTTACTGTCAATTGAAATGTGTATCCCTCTTGCAGTACCAATTGATCTTGTTAGTACCAAGCAAAACCTTGCATTATACTGCTATTACCTGTAAATAATGAATCATCCCAGTTGAAAACAAGCTTGTAAATGTGTATGCGGCGTTAAAGGAAAATACAGTTCTGCAAACATGTACACGCCGTTGGATCAAGAAGCAACAGTCAAGATTGCTTGCTGTTGATCTGCTACTGCAGTAGATTGGTAGTAGTCATAATATATCCTAATTATGTTTTTGTTTTCCTTTTTTATCATTTACAAAAAATGGTTATGAACTCTGTCCTTACTCAATTGACAAAAAGATGTAGATCTTGATGCCAGCTGACGATCCCCTCTCCTTTCTTTTCCTTTCTATTTTCCATGTTGTCACTTTTCTTGAGGGCAAATGCATAGGAATATGCTCATCACAGTTTCTACCTAAGGTAGAATATTCCAGTGTTGCTGACAAGGATGGCTCAATCAAAATAGGAAACCTGCTGCCATGCAGGTGTTGGCACTTGGCAGTCAAAATTTGCATGGGCTTTAGAATTCGTCTTGGTAGATGTACTAGCTTGGATCAGCCTCGGAGACTGGTTAATTTGACTCGAGCGAGTTTAATAATATAGTCTCCAAAAATTAAAATATCATCTATAATCAATCTAATAGTTCACTTATACAATAGTTAGTTGTAGATATGTACTGCATAATTACTATCTACTCCATCTATCTCTCTCACATAGGGGTGTTTAGATCTCACATAGGGGTGTTTAGATCCAGGGGTGTAAAGTTTTGGTTTGTCACATTGGGTATTATATAGGGTAAGCATGGGGTGTTTGGGCACTAATAAAAAAAACTAATTACAGAATCCGTCAGTAAACCGCGAGACGAATTTATTAAGTCTAATTGATCCGTCATTAGCAAATGTTTACTATAGCACCACATTGTCAAATCATGAAGCAATTAGGCTTAAAAGATTTGCCTCGTAAATTAGTCGTAATCTGTGCAATTAGTTATTTTTTAGCCTATGTTTAAATACTCCCTCTGTTTCAGGTTATAAGACTTTCTAGCATTGCTCACATATATATATATATATATATATATATATATATATATATATATATATATATATATATATATATATATATATATATATATATATGTGTGTGTGTGTGTGTGTGTGTGTGTTAATGAATCTATGCACACGTATATGTCTAGGTTAATTAACATCTATATGAATGTGGGCAATGTTACAAAATCTTATAATATGAAACGGAGAAAATACTTCATACAGGTGTCCAAACTTTCGATGTGATAGAGTGTAAAATTTTTGCGTGGGAAATAAACATGGCCATAGTTTGTTGGAGACCGTGTTGTAGCTAGCTACTAATCTATAGCCCAATTTTCTTCTCTATCCTCCAAATAAGCATAAATATAATATAACAACTTGTATAGCCCGCTTACCATCTTATTGTACTCACTCTAATAGAAGGGTCCGCGTGGCGACACGTCGCGCACGATAATAGACGCATTAACTTGTTATAAGTAGAAAAAAATACGTTGATAAAGATAAATCGTATTTTATATTAGTAAAAAGCAGTACAATAATAGAGACAACTAAATACAAACCGATAAACTAATAAAGAAACTGCACACCGCAAAATTTGCAAGCAAGTTCAGGACATATCTCAAATTTGAACATATCCTGCACTTATCTGTAATTTTGCACATGGACATATCATTTTGAACGAATCACATGGACATATCTTAAACCGTGTACACATCCAGATCATATGATCATATCTCATGATTATAACGTGTTCCAAAAATTTACAAATTTCATACGCAGAAGTTCTGTTCACTGAACCAATATGTTCATAAAGAGCATGAAACGTGCATGTATCTAGTCAAAATCATCGGGGACAGACACATGCATGGTAAACCATAAGAGACTTGTACATATAGGAAAAAGAAACTACTATACGTAATATTATCCTCTGTTCAACAGGGGCATAGGGCACATGCTTGATTTTAGTAGAAGAATCCTAGAATTTAGAACTTTTAGTCTGAAGAAGTTTCTGTTAAAATATTCTACTCTGTTCAACACGACCACACGCAGTTCAGAAAAAATCATTCGAGCTGCACTGATGAACCAAAAAAATTCGCTATCCAACGAAGAAATTTCAGAAAAGTCATGGAAAACCTTCCTCCCACGTCGCTATCACGCTGGCGGCTCGGGGGCGAAACCCTAGCCGCCCACACCGCCGCAACCCCGCCCTCTTCTCCACCTCGCCGCCGCCGGAGCTCGCCGGCAGCGAGCCGGGAAGGCGACAGCGACACCAATCGAGCTCGGTGGAACCCACCTCGGCACAAGGAGGATGGCGTGAAGCCGACACGTCCCTTAGCGGCCGGAGGCGGAGACGGCGGGGCGGCGTGTGGAGGCGATGGATCTGGCACCTCTGAAGCCGGATCTGGCCCTCCCACGCCCGGATCTAGCCGGCGCGGCAACGGCAACCCACGTGCGGCGACGGCGCGATGGCCCGAGCGGGAGCGTGGCGGCCGTGGTGGCGGCCGGCTGAGGGCAGTGGAAGACCACTCGGCGGCGGGGCTACTGCGGCAGCGTGGCAGCCCGTGGTGACGGCGTGGCGGCCCGTGGTGACGGCGCGGCGGCTACAACGGTGGTGGCATGGCATCGGCGTGGCGGCCGGAGTGGCGCCTGCGGTGGTGCAGTGGCTAGAGTGGCGCCGGCGTGGCGACCGGGAGGCTGGGCGATGGTGGTGGCGCCAGCACGGACGCCACTGGTGGTGTGGTGGCAGTGCGCAAGCGCAAGGGAATGATGGCAGTACAAAGGGAGCTGGCGGCGGTGGGTCATCTTCCTCATTGCCGGTGGGCACCCTCGTCCTTCCTAGAGCTTCTCCCCTTTTTTGCGGGGAATTTCTAAGTTGGATTGAAATGACAGCTGGTTAACAGGGGAAACTCAGGCCTTCGATGAGACGTCCTCCAGTTCCGGGTTCTCCTTTTGCCAAAATCAACGAGGAGGCCAGCGGGTGGTGGGACGGAGGAGGCCTGGGCTAGCTTACAGGGGTGGCGACAAGGTGCAGCATCTTGTGTGGAAGTTGATCGGTGGAGGGGCGCCGGTGCGGTGTGGTGGAGGCCTCATGTTGCCACTGCCAGTGCGGTGGTTTCTGAGCTGACGGCCGACAAGCTTCAATGCAAGGTTGCAGGGGCTTCAGGCGAAAGCCTCGTCTGGTGGTTCATTAGGCCGGCAGCGGCTACGCCTTTGGGCGTCGTAACCCTCCCTTGGGGCGCTGTCGAGGATGCCTCTCTTCCTTAGCGAGTTTCTTTGGATGAAAACCACATCTTCCTTAGATGGGCGTGGCGGTGTCCTTGATGTCGTGACCTCCTTGAAGGCATCGTTTTTAGAGTCTCATGTTTGTGGTGTTGTCGTAGGCCCGGCGACGATGGCCAAGCATAGTGGGGGTTTGTGCTTGTGTGGTTAGCACATGAATTTTTGGTTGTGCACTTTGGTGTACTTCTAACCTCGACATCTTCTGTCGATTTTTTTTTATAACTTTATTCCTCCTTAATATACTCGGATGGCATCCTTCGGTTTTCCTGGTGAAAAATTTCAGAAAAGTGCTGCTACATGACAGGATGCGAATACTGCGAGTAATGATCTGCACCAAAAAAACCTTGAACACGAATCAATACTATAAAATTTCAAGAACACCTAGGGAAGCTCAGAAATTGTCCCGCCCGAATTTAGTTGATTATGAACTGAGCACTGCTCACTACGAAGCTGAAACCGAGCCACCAACCGTGCGTTCGTGGCGAGGAACGAAGCGGGCAGAGCTTGGCAGTTCCAGAATAAAGGGAGTAGGGACATTCCCAACCAGAATTCAAACAACAAAAAATCACCCAAAACTTAATGCGCACAAGCATCAACCTGAAATCACCTGGAACCAAAGTCAAATGAACCATCATCTGCTGAGATATGCACCTCCTATAGGTCATCATTGCAAAAAAGATGTTGTAATATGTTGCATTCTGAAGTCTAGTTTTGTTAAAATCTATAGACAAAAAAAAAAATCATCCAGAGCCTTCCAATCGAGCAAGATTCCGAACTGTTCTATTTCGAAGAATTTACTTAAATTGCTCCGTTCAACTAGACAACCTCAGAACATGAACTAAATCCAACAGAGAAATCCACTTGAACTGCTCTTTTCATCCAAAAAATTCAGAATAAGAACTTAGAACTGCTCTGTTCATAGGAAAACTAAAGGTTGACAGAAAATGCAAAAACTGTATTCCTCAAGAAGAAATTCCTGCGTCTCGAAACCAAGGAACTCCAATCCTCGCATGCATCTGGTAACACGTAAAAAAAAAAACAGAAGTTGCAATCCATCCCAAGGAGAAAGGTGCAAAAAAATAAAAAAGAAGCTCACCACCAATGTGTACCACTCATCTGCACAGGTACAACACAACTCGAGTCTGCCAGATGTGTGCGCCAGCGCCCACAACACGCGTACACTACACGTCTATGATAATAGTATTTTACTTTCACAAGTTGAGTTGAATTGTGATGGAAATGCACTCACCAATATATCTTCCAGTTTTAAACCACATTTTCATCTCTAATGTAGGGATTAAAATTTATGATTTTGTTGTCATATTTGAAATATTATTTTGGTGGAAAAAATTACATCACCATGTTTTTTTAACCCCATCATTACTGATGATCTATTGACGATCCCAATATTTGCCACAATCTGTTAATTGTGGTGGAAAAAAATACAGTTGAGGTGATGTATTTTTTTTTCATCATTAAAAGTCCAATCCCTTGGAGTATAATATAACATCCCTGTGTATAGAAATTATGCAAAGAATAGACGGCTTGTTTGGTAACTCGAGGGAAGGGGATTGGAAGTTTACACGAGGGAATTGATGATGAGATTAAGATGGGAATTTGATTTTTAATCCCAATATCTTGTTTGGTAGAGGTGATGGAATTGATAGGGAGTTTAGTTGGAGATTAGGTCATTAATAAAAACGGATGGCTGAAATTTGCTTAGATAAAGTAAAGGAGGAATTCCCTCCCAATTACCTGCCCCTACCCAGGTA